ACGAAAATGAGGAGCTAAAAAAAGGTCCTCACATTTTGAAAACAAAGTTCGCAAAATGACAATGGGTCCAAAAAAATTCGTTGAGGGTCAAATTTTGCCAGCAGGGGTTAAGATCAACGAGATCAGACTATGTCAGAATCTATGACAGATCGCAAAGGTAAAACACTATAGTGCACTATAGAATTTCAGGAAGTACTCAAGTTCTAATACTTCTTATGCGATAGATGCATCGAATACTTAATATTACATTTTATTGCCACTGCGGGCTACAAGTGATCACAAGATTTGAGATAGATATTGCATTTTTTTGACAATGAAATGCCATTGCATTTCATTATGTGCACAAAAGCACTTCCAATTAACTTGCAATCAAATGCGATGCCAGATTTCTTTGAGTTTTTGACAATTGAAAGAACGTGTGAAGGCTTTATACCATTTGTGCTTTTTGCAATAATATGGAGCCACCATGATTATTTACCAATTAATAGTACTGAAGTACAATGTATTTGAATCCGTATCTTCTTCACTACTGCTTGAAAGCATAATGGTATAAAAATCTGCAAGAATTTACGACTCGTTCTTTTAAATAAAAAGTTAGTGCTCATTACGTTGAACATTGCCAAGCAATAAGATTTCTACGGATAAGTGCCATCATTTAACACTCTGGACATGTTTTACTGCAATTGAAATGTTGGGAAACTCTTCTGTCGCCACCGTAAATTACAAAACAAAAAACTATATACTCATTGCTCAGATTATTAAATTTGCTTCAAATTAAAGTCTGTTTCGAATTATAACTGAATCAACCAATATTCAAAAATCCAACAAATGCATCGTTTTAATCAGCCTTTCAGATGTTTCTTTTATTTTCCCAAACAAATGGTTTGAATGAATGGCGAAAATATTGTGGACTGAATGTATTCGTTTTCGAAATCGAATGATCTTTTATTTCCAAATTTTATTTCAATTTGTCGGTAAAATGCGCTCATTATTTGTGTTCACGTCATTTTGTGCAATTGAAGAGTTGATTATATGAATGTCCGAGAATGAAAACGCAACTTCTATTCACAACACATATAAGTGAAACAAAAATAAAAAATTTATTGAAATGAAACAACAAAATCGAATTTTTTCAAAGTGTAACAACAAAAAAGATTTTTTTAAAGTGTAACATCGGTATGTTGTTACACTTACTACATACCGATGTTACACTTTAAAAAAATCTTTTTTGTTGTTACACTTTGAAAAAATTCGATTGTGTTGTTTCATTTCAATAAATTTTTTATTTTTGTTTCACTAATATGTGTTGTGAATAGAAGTTGCGTTTTCATTCTCGGACATTCATATATTTTTTTTTTAAATATGCCAGACAAACAAGTCAAGAAGTATTTTCCGAAAAATGTGCCACCAAGTGGGAAAATGTACAAATATGTATCGATTCGCAAACATTTTCCATCAATATGTTCCACATTTCGGTTGATTATTATCGTAATTCTGTAAAACGCACAATGCTCGACTTAACACTTCAAACTATTCCATTGGAAAATATACAGCAAACCATTTTCAATCGTTGGTTCAACAATGGATAGAGAGCCACAATGAAAAAAAAACTGCTGCTTTACACAGATTTACCCAGTTTTCATTGCAATCCGCATTAGATAAGCTCTGAGAACGAAATATAAAATCACTGAGATACGGCTGCATTCACACTCCAATTTATTTGTTCAACAATGGATTTGTACGACTTTTTTTTCGTTCAAATTAAATTTAAATCCATTTGCAATGCAAATGAACATTTTCGCTGTAATTTTGATTGCACAATGCGGACATAAGTGCATTTTGGCGAGCTAAAATCACATACAAATGCAAAAAAGAGCATTCACATAAATTATTCTCGTGATTTTGTAGCTGTGGATGGAATATAAATTGTTTAAATCCTTCAAATGAATTGATTTAAACGCATACGGAGGTAAATCTCTAGTAGCCTATATATCTCTACTGCTGAACCCTATGGAAAGATAAGCCAATGCCAAATTTTTCGCACGCATACACAAACACTCATATTTCCAATGGCAAAGATCATTGAAATGTAATTAAATCACAAGCATAACATCACTTTTGCCATGATGAGTTCGCTCTCATTCGCACACAAAAAGCTTCGCATTCAATAGAAATCCATTTAGCTTCGATTGAAAGACCCGAGTCCCGTTGAAGGCAAAACAAAGTTAGTGTTTCATGAGAAAATATTTGCGTTTCATTGGAATGATTCTATTGGCTAAAAAGGAGTTACATAGCACCCGAATGCCCGTCTAACCGCAAACTGAATTTGCCAAACTTCGGAGGAAAAAAAATTGCAACGAGAACGCACAGCGAACGACGAATGTGGGAGAAATTCAATTTGTATCTCTCTGCGGCAAATGGCCTTTCATCTAGGGGCTAACCACGGATTTTTTATTGACAAAATCTGTTTTTATCGCCCAATTTTAATGACATCCGTAAAAAATTGAGAAAATCTATATATATTGAATTTTATCGTTTAATATCGACTATAAACGTTTAATGTGCTGACGTCATTACCAATTCAAAAATGCTGGAAGTGGGTTTTGGTAGATCCTCAAGATCGTTCAGAACTGCTCCCGGTTCTGGAAGTGGATCCTCGGGATGGGCCAGGGCATTGTCAAACCCAGTCTGGTCCATCCTGAAGATCCACCAAAACCCACTTCCATAATCGGGAGCAGTTCTAAACGATCCTGAGGATGCACCAAAACCCGCTTCTAGAACAGTATGCATTCGTTAAAGCGAAAAAATTACTGCAAAAATCGGGCAAAATCGACCAAAATGTGATCATATCGGAATTTATTTGTTTAAATGATAAAAAATGTTAAAGTCGGTCATTATTGGTTATTTTTAAAACCGTGGTTAGCCCCTAGCCTTTCATCAAACAACTTCATCCACGTATATCGAGAGCATATTGCTCGTAAACACTTTTTTCTCTTTGGCTCTTGTTCACATTCATTTGCTTTTGCCAAACTAGGCGTGTGTAAGTGTGTATGTGTGCACGCCAAGCATTGCTCGGTCAAGCTCTTCGACATAGTTATGTGGTTTTAAAACAACATATGTTTGGAATGCATTCGCACAGACATTTGTCCATCTTCAAGCGCCTTCTTGTTTCTATTTGTTGCGGGTGGTTTTGTGTTCACATGCTCACGATGCTCACTTGCATCGTCTGTCACTTTTCTACTCTTTTCGGCTTGAATGTGTTGGCACGATTCGATTTGAAATGCTGTATTCGCTACACACAGCGATTGATTGGTGTATGTGTGTCTGTGTGTTCATGATGTTTTTGTCGCCAAATAGCTTGTTTATTCTTCCAGCTGCAATTGCTTTCTGTCGAAACCACGTTTCAGCACTCAAATGTTTAGCCAGAGATTTTGATGTATACTGAAATCGTGATGATGATTTGTAAATATTTGAACATTTGAGCTTAATTTCAGTTTCAGTTTCAGTTTCAATTTCAGTGTCGGTTTTTTGGTTTCACTCTGTTGATTTCGTTGATTCACACAGTGAGAGAAATTTGATTTGTGGCCATTGCCTTGATCACGTGCTTTGAAAATTGGTTTTCTATTTGTTTGGATGAATAAATTGCGTCCGCCTGGCAACCCAAAAGAACACCGAATATATAAATTCAATCGGAAATGGCATTAACATTCGACTGATGTAATTGATTCGATTGTTGTTATAATAACACTGCTGTTATTGGTAATATCAGTTGGAACTTTTCATCGATTTCATGAGTTTTGTCGAGAGCATATAAATAATTGGATGAAATGTGTTTGTTTTTAATTAATCAATCTAATGAGTTCAATGAGCGATGCGCAAAAGGTTATCGAGAGGTAAAACCGATCAGATTATCGAACTGATGTAATGTTTTTGCCATTGATTCGAACAAGTTTGCCTTTGTATGGTATGATAATGTGGTTTGACTGCAGATAAACGGGGATGTCGACGGGGAAAAAAGCAGTCGTGCTATTGTCATTACATTATATGATTCGCAGCTTGTGCAAATGGGATAATCGAATCAGTGGATTTTTGGCAACAGACTCACGCTGAACGCTTGCCAATTATCAAGGATTTAAGCTAAAACAATGCCACCGACATATCAGAACACACTCGCATAAGCTACATCCATCCCGAAAAAAGCGAGATAACAGTAATTCCAAAGCATTTTCCCTCAAAATATCTTTACAATGGCATTTCTCTCTCTCTCTCTCTCTCTCGCAAAATACTGGCAACGTTACAAATGTTTATATTGTGCGTGTGCGCTCCATTTAGCCTTTAAAATATAGTTAACATTTATCTATAAATAAATTCAGGCCATGAGTAATACACAGAAAATTCAATTTATGCATTCGCCACACAGCCACAATGACAACAAAGTTCAAAGACATTTACTGACTATTTTGAAAATGGACGAGAGAAAGAGAAACTGGGAGTAGTTGACGCCTTGAGTTTGTTTCAAAGCTGCCTTTGTGCATATATTCAATAAATTGTAGCGCATTCGCTGTGGTGGCACATTGACATCGATTCCCCGTTTATTGTTCGGCATTTTCACAAAAGACGCTCTCCCTCCCGGCTGTCACTCGATCGACTTAATCTCATTTCATGCTAGCTTCATAAATAAATATGCATTTGCATTCGTATTTCTGGTGCTCAAATTCACTTTGCTTTTTTTCTTCTTCTTCTTCATCTTCTTCCATGATTTGTGTCAAGTGGATTCAACAATACAAATCAAGCCGCCATCGAAAGTTCGATTTATCGACTCTCCAACATCGATATATCGATACTACGAAATGAAAAATAAGGCAAGCGAACGAGAGACAGCGACATCGACTCAATAATGAATATTTGATGCCAAAATAATGCGAACATGAAAGAAAATAATCGCTTTCTACTTGGATGTTGTTGCTATACACCCATACACAACACGAGATGATACTTACTGTTTTGCCGTTTAAATCATTTACTCGACAATGTAAATGCACGCTATTTCCTAAATGTGTTGTAACATTGACACTACCGTTGGGTTCATCGAAATATGGGAACGGTTCGTGTGTTGTCGTCTCTTCGCCGTCTTCGATTTCATTTTCCTCGGGCGTATCGGTGAATGGTGATGAGAATTCTTGCCAAAAATTTTTTGGAAACGAATCAAATGGATCGCCTTCGCGTGGTTTTACAACTGCAACGAGACAAAATGGACGAGATAAGTGAAAAAAAAATGGTACTTGGAATATCCAAAACAGGCAACGAAAAGAGAAAAAAAAACGCACAAAATCAAGCAGATAAAATGTGAATTATGTGAAAATAAAATTGTTTCAGAATATGAAAACTGAAATTTTTTTCCCTGGTCGGGCCATTCTCTTTTCCACCACGCAGCAGTAGCAAGTTTCGAATCGAAGCCGAGATAACTCTCAACACTGCTACTTTTCCTCTCTTCGTTCACTTTGGATTAGGTTTTATGTGAGAGTTATAATCGTTACGCAGCGAAAGCCGGCCAGTAAAAGCGTCTATCCATTTTCGATTTTGATTACGGCATACCATGACAGCGAGAAGAAGCGCCATTATTCGCCTAATGGATTTTTGGTTTTACCAATTAGTTTCCATTTTTCACCATATATCTTTGGAAAAATAAAAATTTATGTGGATTTTCATTCGGTTTGGTCTGCAACTTGGCTTTCTGTTGTGGCAATGAAAAAAAAACGTTGTTGTGCGTGAGTCGTTGTTTTTTTGGTACGATGAACACTTTTTACCGCGTCAAAGCGAAATGAACAACAGTCGAGTGTTTGGATGTGTGTACTGGAATAGCTACCGCGAATTAGCTCAATCATCGCATCTGGCAATTAGGTGAAAGCTTTGAGTAAAAGCTGCATTTACCGCATTTTTATGCAACGCTTCCTTAAGTGGATTCCCACATTTCGCCCTGCCAAATGGCAGCAGAATCACTTTCAACCGGCGATACGGAGTGGGACAGAAAGCGTTTCAATATTCTAATTAATTAAATACAAATAAGAATATATTTTAAGTGTGATGCGCCTCTTTCAATTCAATTCACAATGAATGGGTGGGCAAACACTAGTTTGTCGCTCGAGCAATTCTGAGCATGACGCATTCATTTTTTTTGGTTTTTGTTTTTGTTTTAGTTTCCCATGGAGCAGCACCGAGCAGTTGAAACGCTTTGCCAACGGAAGTTTAAACGGAATTACAACAAAGAATCGACAAACGACAGAAATGAGAATAACTCAAGTGATTTCAATGAGATTCTGCTGCGGTTGAAGGCTTTTTTTGCCACAGTGCACTACAAACTACATAATTACGCGCATCGCACAAAACTTCAGCAAATACAAGCGAAGAAGGCAACACAAGTCCCCCGTTTTTTTTGTTGCGCTGCTCTTTCCAAGGAAACATGAAAATGAAAGCAAATCTAATTAAATTCAAAATACGAAATAGAAACACGATCTTTGCATTCCCAACGCGCTGGCTGAAAAATCAAAGAAAAACCAACGGATGGAGAGAGAGAGAGAGAGAGAGGATGAAAAAAAGAAGAACGGATTTCAGAGTGTTCTTTGTGTTGCGCAAAAGAGTGCAGGAGAGGCAAAAAAGCGACCATGCAATGAAGAGATGCCCAAGACCGCATTGCTTCAAACGAAGTAAGCAGCTGAATTCTTAGTTTGTTACCACTTTGTATTTGCATGAAAATCATTTCTTAATATTTGGTCCGCCCGTTATTTTTTTGTATGTGTTCGGTTTTTCTTCTTCTTGTGCACCCAGTAATAAAATTAAAAGTTTAAAATTGTGTTCAGTATTTTCCCACTGTGTAAACGCAACGCAGTAGAATTTAATTAACCGGCGACTGAGACAGGCATCGAATGTACAAAAAAAGAGATGGAGATAGTGAAAATTGTTGGATAGTCGTTAAAATATGCCAGGCTGACACAGAAGTAGGGTATTCAAAATGATCTTAATTCAGTGAGCACGTAGTGTATATGTGTGTATGTGTGTTTTTTTTCGACACACTCAACCAAACTATTTTGATCCGCATGCTGTTTGGTTGAAAACACAGTTTTATCTGCTGTTTCCCGTTGAATTAAAGATAATTCTGCGACAATGAGCATTGAAAATGAGAACAAAAAAAAACGCACATTCAGAGCAGAACAAGGAAAAAAAATTCGAGTACTTTTTTGCACTCATTGCTTTTATACGCTAATTTCACCTTTCAGCAAGCTTTTAGTCGGAACAAAAAAAAACTGCGACCAAAACTACCCAAGCGAAAGGAACAAAGTCACATTTTGAACGAACGCACACAAAAAGTGGTCTGTGAGCTAAAGCTAACAAACGAATGTTTGAATGTATTGTGCTGTTTCACAATTACACGATCACTGTGTTTCGAGTGGTTGCTCATTGAGAGAATGTATTTCGCTCTTTCAACTCGCTATGTAAATAAATTATCAAATTACATCCTTTTGAAAAGCTCACTCTTTCTGCTTCGTGTTTGCATTCAAAATGTTTTTTCACATGAAAAATGATGGAAATGTGGTTTTTCAATTTAAAATCGATTTTTAAATTCAAACTCATCATGAATATGCAATTAATGCCATAGTTTTATTTTTCACTTTGAAATTGGTGCTAGTTTTAGTCAGTTCGTCGCATTTATGATAAGTACACCAAAATAAACCACTTCCTTTGTGGAATTTTGTTTCCATATTTCAATTTAAAAGTTTAATGAAATGGTGGATTAACTTTTTATCGGCCATACTTCAAAATCGAACATGAAATTATCAAGAGTGTAATCAAGTATGGTCTGCTAAATTACATGTCCTAGTTCAATTTCAACGCAATTTTTACTCCTTTCAATGGTGTTCAAGGTACACACCAAAATTTCAGAGGGGAACGAGTAATCTAGATACAGTGCGAAATAGCGGTTTCAACCAAGGGGAGAGACACCAACGCTAGTTTCACTAATTTATTCTATTGTTTCCTAATGTATGCTATTTTTGCTAGTTTCCCTCAATAAAAGTGCTATTTTTTGCTAATATTTCCTATGTGCAACGTGACAGTTTGACAGTTCACGTACAAGTAACACCCATCAAGTTATTGTTGTATGCTTGGAAAGAAAGCAAAAAAATTATATTTTGGCAATTTTTCAAAAACAAATTGTTCCATTTAATTTCATAAAATAACTCGAAAACTTCGTTTTAGACGGTTAAAAACAGTAAATAACAAATCGCTATTTCTTCAATAATATTGCTAATTTTTGCTATTTTTGCTATTTTCCTCTAGTATTTATATGAACTTCAAAAAATTAGCTAATGGTGTCTCTCCCCATGGTTTCAACTGTTTTTGGATGAATTTACACTAATTTTAGGGGAAAATGTGTTATTGCTTATGCGAACGCTCAAGTGGCTACTCTACTATTCATATAAGTGCCGATACATAGACACGCACTGGTCACCAAGTCTGTGCAGTTGTATGTATTGGCTCAATGACATAACTCCCCGGACGGGTACTAAAAAAAATGCACGGTCGGACGGGCACTCAACGGACGGGCACTTTAAAAATACACGGTCGGACGGGCAATCAAGAAATTTCTTTTGGAAAGCCATTTACTGAAGAATAGCGGTCGATTATGATAGTTCCTTCTTAAAATGGCCACTTTCATTTCGATCTGTTGGGCT